CCCCGGGCGGGAGCGGCGTCCAGGTGCGCGGGGCGGAGCGGCGGCTTGCCCCGCCCCCGCGGCACCCGAGGCGGGACTGGTGTCTGCTGCCGCAGCCCCGCGACGACGAGCAAGCCGGAGTCGGTTCCTTTCTACTCCGCGCCGCTGCCCATCTCCTCTGCCACCATGTCTCTCTGCCGGGCCGCCTCGCTGGCGCTGGCCTCCCGCCTGAGCAGGGCTCCCGCCGCCGCCAGCCGCCTCAAGCAGCGTGGTATGCGGGGCCGCCGAGGAGCTGGCCCGGGGCCGGGCAGAGGTCACCAGGACGGCGTGAGGGGGCGCGGGCCGGGCTGGGCCGGGTGGCGGCGGCGGAGGGGACGCGCGAAGGTCGCGGGCGGCAGCGACATGGGGCCGGGACAGGTGCGGCAGGGTGGGCGAGAGCTGGGCATGGCTGCTCGCTCATCCTGGGTTGCGGCACTGGCTGCTTCAGATCTCCGCCGCTACCTGCTGGGCAGCCGAACCGGCCCGGGACCCCCTACCCCCGCCCCATGGCAAAACAGTGGCCGCTGCTGCCTTCCCTTCCATGTAAAATAGCGGAGTACATATCCCTCGGTAGAGCAGCCGGAGTGGCGGTGCCTCCTCAGGGTTGCCGGCTCCGGGAGGGAGCGAGAGCAGACCCGGTGCGCCACAGCCGTGGCTTTTGGCGCATCAGGGGTTGTGTAACCAGCGGCAAAAAAAATCTAGCAGCCGTGTAGGGCGATGGCAGCTTGCTGACCATTGTCCTGCTGTAGCTAGCAGCCCGGGGAAGAAGGTTAAGGACACACTGCTGCTGAACGAAAATATAAATGTACGCAAATCCATTAGGATGCCTGGCTATTGGAGAGGAGTCTGAGAAGTGTGTCATGAGACTGATGATGCTGAACATAATCTGGCACAGGATGGCAATGTTTTGAAATTGCGATTATTTTTGTAGCTGTCAATTGCAATGCTCAGAGCCATTTTATTTTTCATGAGTGCTTTTTCAATGAGACATTTCTCATTTTTCATGGGTCTCTTTTTGAGATGTTCAGATGAATCCAAAACCGTAGTAAAAATCAGTTTATAACAAAAAATTGGGTAGCACTGATGTTAGAGTTAATATGTACCCAGTCAGGTAAAAATTTGTGTAATCCTACCTCTCTGCCCTGTTGGCTAATTTATGAGGTGAAGGGTATGTATCCAAGTGTCAGTAGTGTGGGAGTGAAAAGAAATTAATTCAAACAAAAAAGCATCTTTAAAAATTCCCTGTTATTAACCTGAAGAGAGAATTAATTACTTTTGCTGATCATAAACAATAAGGACAGATAAATTATTTTATCTATCTTAGGAACTCTTTTACATTCCTTTTTTTTTATTATTAACATTCCTTAGTCTATGTAGACTGTGCCCAGTACTTGGAAGCTGATGGCAGATAATGTAGTTCAAAGAAAAACACCTCTTAGGAAGAGCTCAGCCATTGACCTTGTTCATTTGGGCACCACATCCTGTGTAAGTCAGTCACAGGATACCTCAATAAGCTATACCTCTCTGTTTTATAACCTTTTTGAATAATTCTTTCCCATACAGAATTCAGATTCCATCATTCTTTTTTTGTGATCATATTTTACATCAATTTATCTAATGGTTTTTATAGCGCCTCCTCGCCAGATGTCATCTGGGAGCGTTCCTGGCTCTTCTGGAGACAGGATGATGATCTATCTCCTTGCTGGTGTTGCAGCTTTTGGTGGTTTATTTTATGTAAGTGTTTGGGGATGGAGCTGTTTGTGCTTTCTGAGCTGGCACAGTATAAGGTGTGTTCTGGGTTAGAGTATGGTCAAGATGCAAAGCGTCAATTAGTGTAGATATAAGTGCAGCCTAACCTAGAAATCAGATTAAGAGAATTTAGTGAAGCTGAAAACCTATTGCTTGCCTGTTTGACCGTTACTTTGATAAGTAGCGCTGGGTCATTCGTAGGGGAAAGTATATTTAAAACTATGTGAAATGAATGTATCCAAAGATGGAGTAAGGCACCTGTCTGTAACGCCTTGCCTTGTATTGTCAACCAGAAACATTAGCAATATCTCAAAGTGGGCAAGGCAGATGTGAAATAAGTAGTCTGAAGCTGCAAGGGGAAAATATGAACCTTGTTAATTTGGGCACAAAAAAAGAAGATAAGAACATTAGTTACGTCAAGAAAGCATGTTAAAGTTTTGTAAGCATCTGTTTTTGTTAAGCTTTTCAGTAACCATTCTCTTCCCTGCTTCTAAATATATCTGATTCTGTGCTTCACTTCCCTAAATCCTCCATTTTATAGCTTACTTCTACCCCTCTCCCCAAGATCTGAGATAATGACTAGCATACCCCAGAGAGGTACATATTTCCTTGTCCCACAGAGTAATCCCCTTGAACGGTAAGTAGCTATTAGTTCAAAATATCAAACATGTATGATTGCATTTCTGGATGACTAACATATTCTCTTGTTACATTTTTACCACGTTACAAAAAGAATAATCTTAATGTAATTATCTTTTAAAACACTGTTTTCAATTCCTGAAACACTGCAGCACTTCAGAAGCTGCATGGTATATTGTATTTGCTTTCTAACAATCGAAAAATATAAAATACATAAATATATTAGTATAAGTATATATATATATATATATATTAAGTATAGCAGATTGATAATTTTTTTAAACCTTGCTTAGGATAAATTTTATATGCATTTTAAGATGGGCAGTAGCACTTTCTTAAAATCCTTTCTCTCCCTCTCCCCTCTTTGTGTTTCATAAATTTATAGGGATGTAGCTGTAAATTCAGGTATAATTCCCTTTCAGGCCTACAGAGTAGTCAATTCATCCCACAGCAAGTTTATCAAACATACAAATATTCTTCATGAGAGAGCAGAGGGGCAGAAGAACAATCCTTGGTCAAGGAAGGGTGAGTTGAGCTCTTCTCTCTTGTTCCCTGGGTACATGAGGATTTGGAACAGATTTCTGGATTGTCTAATCAGGCTTTAGCACTGTCCAAGTTCTTGTCTGAACTGTGTGAGTGAAGGCAAAGGTGGTTGTGGAGCGTTCTGTTACAAAGCTGCTGCTGCACAAGTTTTGGTAGTGGCCTTCATGTTCAGACAGTGAATCTGGTCTTTGATCCACCTTTAGAGTCTCTTTGGATGGAAAGAGTTGATGTGTGAATACTATTAATTGTATAATGGGTATTTGATTTACTGGAAGCTTAATGAAACTTGACTGAATATATAATGCTGTCAAAATCAGTTTTGTTCATTTGTTTTCAGTGGCGGGGGAGAAGATAATATCTTTTTCTCAGTCAACAGGTTGGCTTCAGGCCACATACCATCAGGAAATACAGTTCAATAGGGAAAAAAATACTACATTTATAAAAAATGTTTTAACTTGGATCAATTTTTTGTCCTACAACTTTGATTTTGTCTTTTCTAATTTGGAGTTAAATGAATTGCAGGCATTACCTAAATGTATAGCAAATCTTTACTTAGCTCTTCATGCTTGAATAATTAGACCATCTTAGTTCAGTTACTTGTAATGGAATGTTGTCCCTGTTTACATCAATTAGTGTTACAGCATTAATATAAAAGGTAGAACTTTGGCAAGCATGGACTTGCTAGGAAAAGCAATTAGGAAATTTTTATAAGGATCTTTATATATTTTTACTTGGTTGTTATTTAAAAGAATAAATAAAGTATTGAACCTAGCCAGAGCACTTGAAACTCTTCATTTTTTTAAAAATGTTGATATCTAGGGAATTGATTTAATATATTTGCATGCACACAAAGAATAGATTTTAATAAAGTATCTTGAGTTTAAATTTTGTTTTCAGTGTGAGAACATGGTTTAAATTCTCTGCCACTATAATTATTTCTTTAGAATTCATTAGCCTTGAACTTCTACAACATATGCTTTTGTTTCAGAACTTTAAAATTACAGATCTTAAGATTTAAAGTAGTCAAATACCTTAATTTCCAAAAAATAAAAAAGAAAAAGCTGAACACAGTATAGTTTTAAAACTCAATTGTTTAAGTAAATGCTGAGAATTCAGCCACAATTTGCAATCCTTCATTGTCTCTAAAATAAAAAATGTAACCAGGACCAAAGTAGATCTTTCCTAGGGACCTGGTTTCCTGCTGTTCAGGGCAGAAGTGAGGATTACCCTTATTACTTTCTGAATGCCATAGTTGGGAGAACAGGGAAGCATTAAGCAAACATTACAACATATTCCCAGTGATGTCAGTGTATTCCCTCTTTTTCTTTTAAGGTGCACTTCTGCAAGGTATAGAGTTTTGGCCCTAGCCTACCCACAGGCTGGAGTGAAATACTTGTAGTACTGAGTGTTCAGTAGTTGATTTTTGGTACTCTCCAGAAATTCCATCATCTGCTGCTTTGTGCTGATTAATAAGTCACATAAATGTCACAACCAGTGGCAGATGATTGCTGCCTCACTTTTTATTGATAATAAGAACTCAAAAATGTTTCTAAGGCCATTTAGTGAATACAGTTGAAACTCGTTTTCTATATTATTTTCAATATTTCTGAATGACTTCTGAATAAATGCTTAGCCCAGATTTTTAGTTGGACTTCTGAGTAGCTAATTCCAATTCACGATACAAAACCACCATTGAATCAGCTCCTTTTAGAATCCTTCTTCATTCCCAGCTGTGTACACCCACAAGAGCAGAACATTAAGAATGTTGCATTAATTTTCTTGTTCAGTCCAAATTCAATAATCAGTTCTGTTCTTATTTTTCCTACAGAATCCTCTGTGTGCATTCTCAAAAGAGTTAACACCCCTCTTCCTCCCCTTTTTCTCCCAATCCCTGCATAGTCATACTTTTATGTTTATCTTGTCACAGAGTGTTAGCATAGTATTGCTTTTTCCAGAAGTGCCATTGCAGTTTATTTCCCTGTGCATTCTTTAGAGTCAGTCCTTAGACTTTTTCACATTGCTGATAAGAGCAGTTAAAAATTCTGTTCTCAAAGTATTCAGATTTTTTTTAGGGGCACATTAAATCAAGCTTAAAATAAGTTCTAAAACCGAGCTTGTAACCATATGAAGTGGTAGATAGAAGAGCAGTATGCCGAGCAGCATGTTCATGGCATATTTGCTGTCTATGGTAAAATAACTTTCTAGGTGGAAGAACATAATCACTGGAGAGCAGCTGATCAGAGATTCTTTTGATAGGATTTTTATAGTTTCTCTTGTGGGGGAAAATTCTCCCCTTATGCCTGAACCCAAAATGTCTAAAGTACAGAAGTGTACATAGCAAACAAGGCTGTCAAAACAAGAGAAACAATCATTCTAGGGTTCTTTGTTTATTAGAGGATTGAAATTATATTTAATAATATTAATTAATTAATAATTAATAATAATTAATATTAATTAATTAATGATAACAGACATTTAGAAAGAGATCTGATAGCAAATTTTCTGTGGCTCTTGTTAACTGAAAGCTACTTTCAAATTAGGGAGGTATTTAAAAAGCCCGTGGAAGAAGCCTGACTCAAAGTAGCAGTAGAAAATCTGGGACATCATTTGAAATGTAAAATGATGTTTGGCTTGCAGGATGTTCTACTTGCTTATTTAGTGAATACTGAGTTTTGCCTTCCATTTGTTGTTTGTGTCCTTTAAGCTTGTTCCTGATTTCCCTCTTTTTTAGCTATGACCTTGCTTTTTAACTCGTTGCAAGCTGATTCAATCTTTCTAATCTATACTCTTCTTTTACACTTTCTGGACTTTCTAATATACACTCTGCTTTTACACTTTCCAGACACAAGGGAAATCTCTTTCCAAACCTGTGGAAGTTAAATACAAACAAAGGACAGTCGTTCACCATTGAGTACATTGCAGCCTACCTTGGGATGACTTTATACCTTCTATTGTAGAACTCCATTTGTGTAAGACTTTAAAAGAACGACCTATGTTTGCAAGGCCAAACCATACTGAGCTTATTACTGAATCTGCTTTGTAGAAGGCAGTTCTGAGATGGAGAAGCTGGCTGTTCTGAAGTAATGCACTCTATATTTGACTGTCTATAATAAAGTGTACTGAATGCTGAGCTTGGCTGTTAGTCTGTTCTTTGTGTAATGAATTTAGGGTTTTTTTAACAGTGTTTTCTTAAAGGGACATGATCAGGTTGCATAATGCAAAGTTTTGATTTTTACTGGGCAATGAATGGACTTGTCTTAAAGCCTGAACACAAAATGATAGGCTTTCACTGGCATAAGAGGCCCAAGAAATAAAATTGATCTGTTTAGTTTTTAAACAGACACAAAAGAATCGAACAAACTCTGACCATGTCTCTTTAAGCTCTTTTGTTTCAATTCTCACACAGTTTACACTGTATTACAAACTCTATTTCCAGTTCCATTTTTTCATATGGTGAGTTGGTTCTAGCGGTGAGCTTGTGATGAACAGTTGGTGTATAACTTTTCCTTTGTGGACTTGATGTTAGTGCATGTTTGCATGGCGGTTGAGCATCTTTGTTGCTTTGTGCTGTTAGTTTTTCATGACTTGTCTCAGCTGAATTTGAAGTGATGCATGACTGGGAAACACTGTTGTTCAAGGTTCTAAGGAGTCGGACTCACAGTGGTGTACACAAGTCTTAAAAAGAGAGTTGTGAGTTGTAAAAAGAAAATAGTCATAAGTGGTCATGTCTCTAAGAAAGTGAGCTCTGACTAAAAATTAGGAAGCTCTTTTCTTACTCTATATAAGACCAAATGTCTTATTCCCCATATGGTAATTCCACAGAGTCATGCTCCCTCTGGCACCTGTGTGTGTACCATCACTGGCCCTTTCGGCAGAGTGGTTTGAAGCAACACTTGGCAAGGTCCTTTGTTATTCTTCCCTGCACCCCCAACACTTGCTTTAAGCCACAGTTTCTTTTCTTAGCACACTGAAACATGTTATGAAACTCAGTAATTAAGAATATGGTTTCCTCATCTTGTAAACATAGTTTTTTGATGCCACATTAGACAATATGAGGGATTAATTATTGATCCTTTTTTATTGTTTATTCTGATCCCTGTTAATTCTGAGTCTTAGCTTCCCACTTTAAATTTAAATGAGGGTTATAATAAAAAGTAGTTGGTGAAATTTTTGTTGTATCCATGCATTTTACTTTCTTTATTGTATTGAATAAATCCTTAGAAGGTGATGGAGAAGAGACGGATGAAGTCACTGAAGCAGAGGCTGAGGAAGAGGCTGATACAGCAGCTGCTGTTGAACCTGCAGCACAGGATGAGAGTGCTGGACCCACAGCACAGGATGAGACTTCCAGGGTATCCCCAGAAGCTAAAGGGGAAAATGACTTACTGGCTCCAGAGGTATCCCATGCTACGGAGGAAGCACAGCAGGAAGCTGCTGCTAATTCAGAAGCTGCTGCTAATTTGGAACTTGCTGCTAATTCAGAAGCTGCTGCAGTTGAAGGTTAATTTATGAATGTGGTTTTTGAGTGTGTGTGTTGTGGGTTCTAAAGCTTTTCCTCTTACAGAGCATTAAGAATGAGCAGCAGTGTTCCTAATGGAGTTTGTCCTGCAGTGAAAACTAATCCAGGCATTAACTTGACATATCATGAGCATAAGGTAATTAAGTTTGTTAAATCAGTGTCTCTGAAAGCATCCTGCCTCTGGCACCAGAGTTACTGTCTAAAACGAGTCAAATGCTTATTTTACTACCCCATCCTATTTCTTAATATATTAAGTTGAGCATATAATGTGGTCAGTTAAACAGGTGTTTCAGTAATCTAGTTCTCAAGGAATCTAAGGAATCTAAACACTTTAGTTCACTAACCATTCCAAGGATATTCACACTGAATAATTATATCTGTTCTATCAGTGTAACTTAAACGGGATGTTGAGTGGCAAAGAAAATGCTGTCATGGTCTCAATCTTAAGCATATATTAGGCTAAATTTTCACAACACAATACAACATCAAATTGTTGTTAAACACTGAAGTTGATAAGTGGCAAAACATTGAGTATTTTGAGCTGCCAGGGTGTTTGAAATAGTTTTGTTTATTGTGCTTTTTAAAAAATTGCAATAAGACAAATGCAAAACTATCCACAAAATGCACAAGATACAGGATTATAACTTAATTTGGCAGATTTTTAAGTTTTTCCTTAATTTTTTTTTACCATTAATCTTGAGAGGATATGTCCAAAACACAGATCAAACTGAGATTAAAAGTATTTTGACTGCTAATCTATGGGCATTTATCATAGTACTGTCAAAGGTGTTACCAGATTCTGAATTATTTTCACTTTTTTCCTTGGTGATTCCAATGATAAATGGATGCATCTTAATTGCCTTTTTAACAAATAAACTTGAGAAATAGTGCAGCACTTCTAATTGCTGAGTTTTATGGAAGTTCTAGGTATGACTGTAATTTTAATTCGAATGTGAATAGTTCCTGTGTTTGTCTCTGAAATAAACTATTACAAATAATATTTTAAAGCAATACTTAGTCTGATCTGCTGTAATACAGTTTATATAAAGTAGAAGTAAATACCTTGGTAGTGATTATTACTGCTTATATATAGAAATATTTATAAGGTAGTAGTTAAAATACCTAGAGCCCTAAAAATTTCCATTTCTGTGGAATATTTAGACCACTTCATTTCGAAAGGAAGTAATCTGTTGTATGTTAAACAACTTTAATTTAAATTTGCTGAATTAGAGTCATTAAGAGATATGTTTAAAAATGTCTTGCAGTATCTCTTGCTCAACAGAGCAATTGCAAAATTTTCCCTTTAATTTCATAACCACTTGTTTGTGTCTGGAAGTGGTTGTGTATTCCTTTAACAATGCTTATCTACGAATAACTGTTAATTGCTGGGTAAGGTAGTATCTTCTGTATGGTAAATATTTCTGCCATTTTATTGAAGAGGCTCTTCCCTGAGAAAGGGAAGCTAGGATCTTCCCTGAGAAACATGGTACATAAATTGATTAGGTATTAGGAAGAAATTCTTTCCTGTGAGGGTGGTAAGCCATTGGAACAGTTTCCCACAACAGCTGTGGATGCCCCGTTCCTGGAAGTGTTCAAGGCCAGGTTGCATGGGGTTGTAAACATCCTGGTCTAGTGGAAGGAAGGTGTCCCTGCCCATGGCAGGGGGTTGGAATGAGAAGGTCTTTAATGTCCCTTCCAATGCAAATCTTTCTGTGATGATTCTGTGATTAAGTCTGTGGATTTCATTCTGGATATATTTAAGTATGTAAGTCATGTACTTAGTGATCACTATTCGATAAGAAGAAATAGGGCTTGTAACTTTTAGTTCCTGCTGGTGTTATCTGGAAGTGGAGGAGCTCTTCAGAAATTACTGATTTCTAAGATCTAGTATTTCTGTTTTCTCTGAGGAAAACAGCACTAGAACCAGACTTCTGTTATGCTGAAAGATGTAAGGGAGTCTGAAGGTCTTCCCAGGTGCCCTCTACTAAATCTTGCTGCAGTGGTTATTCTTGTCTGGGAGGTAAAGCTAGCAGAAACAAACCTTTGGGATGTAAAATTGTGAAGAAATTGAAGCAAGGGATGTTCTCCTTGCCTCATCTCTTGGGTGTTCTGGGATGTTCTCACTTGCTTCTGAGCATAAGTGTCCTGTGCCACTGGTTCCCAGTGCAGATTGCTGTGAACAACTGCTGGTGCCAGGTGTGACTAGGGTAATGAACTCTGGGGTCGTGGCCATGGTTCACATGGGGTTACACCCAATGTAACCGAAGTCCTGGCCTGTGAGGCTCCTGCTCCAGGTCTCCTTAGCACTCCCTTCTCCTTCAACCAACTCTCTTTATCCTGGTCCTTCCTGCAGAAGAACAGCATGGCCCCCTGAGCAATTCTTCCCATGAGCTCCTGACCACGGGAAGGAAGGCCACCAGCAGCACATGGTCTGACACACAGGCGTAAACCAGCATCCCTTTCCTCTAGGCCATGTAAAAACTAGTTTCCATTGGCATCATGCTCACAAGAAGATGGAGGTTTGTTTCAAAAGTTCTCTGTACCATTTTGTTCAGTGTCTACTTGCAGCCAACAGCTATTGTGTTTAAAAAAAAATTCTAATTAAAATCCTTCTGGATTTAACCAGTTTTGGATTTAACCATCTTTATTATTAATGTTATCTCCATTTAGAGGGAAAAATAGCATAGCTCCACTTTTTCTGAGGTAGAGAAGGATTTTTCTATAAGAACTTTGGATAAAAGTATGTATTTGAATAGCTTTTACTGGTTTTGTTGGAAACTTGGTGTTACTTCTGCAGATGAAGGTGTAAGTATTTGTATTGTTATTGGTGAACTTCTGCTTTTTCAAATGCTGTTGTTTCTTCTAATCTATAAGTCTTTCCCTAATGTTTAGAAGTGCAAGCTATGAAGGGATGCTTGTCTCCAGCTCTTGTATACAAATAATGGAAATGTATGATTACACATGGATGTGCAAAAAACCCCCCACCCAAACCAAAACAGATATCAAACAAACAAACAAAAACCCAAACCCAGCCCATTTCAGAAAGTTAACAATTGCACCTGACTGGAATGTTCTCCTTACCTCAAGTTAAGCAATTTACAATCTACTGCTGGTATCCGGAATTCTGTGAAATACTGTTGCCAAAATAAGTACTGAACTCTGTTATTCTGTTCCCAAGGTTTTAACTTCATCTAACTTCTAATTTTCTCTACCTTTTAATTGCTTGAGCTGTCACCCTTGATTGCTTCCTGATGGTGGTTAAATTCCTGTTGTTCTTCTAGTGTACTCTGTGTCTGGGGCCATAAATTAAGTCTTCAGACAAACCAAATATGCTGTAAAATTCACAGATTGGCAAACTGCTATTTGGATTAGGCGAAGTTGTTGTATCTGTGAGTTCTGGTGTTTGGGTTGCCACCATAAACTCTTCTCCAGCTCTGGTATTAAGGCTTGAGGTTTTGGCATAATCAACTGAAATAACAGAAGCAATTAAACCTAAACTGTTTTTCCAGACTTCTTCCTGACTTCTCTAGCATAGGGTTTTTTCTAATTTTGAAAGTATTGAAGGGCATGGTCCTCTTCTCTGTTATTTCCAAGGCTATTTGAGTGAGTGACTGGGTTTGGGCAGGATTAGTGTGTGAATGTGGCAGTGTTTTCCATGCTAAGCTTCAAACGCACTACAATGCCAGTTGCTTGCAGCCTAGAAAAACAAATGGAGGCTGCTCTGGACAGGAATTGCTGGTTTTGCAACAGGACTTTTGCTGATCCCATCATCCAGTGATGCCAAGCAGACAAAAGCACCTGATGTAATCAGTGCATGCTGGCTTGGCTTGTTAAGTTACCAAATTCTGGGTGTGCTGACACTTAGTACTTAGAAAATTACTGAAGAGTCCTCAGAGTGATTTGCAATTGCTCATACTTATTCAGAGGCTTTCAGAATGACGTTGCTCAGTAGAACAAGCACATCCTTCTAGGCATCTATTTGTGTGAGATGGAAGAATGAGGACTTTTTTCTCTTTACTGATTATGATAGACGGATCTAGCTAAATTAGGCCCTAAGAAGTTGTATTATGTAAATATTATCCTATTGGGGTAGTATCTGTATCTGGAACTTCTGTTTGGTATTTCTGTTTCATGTTTATCACTTTCTTTTATCTGTCTCTTGGACAGCTGCACTTATCTTACATCTCTCTGCCATACACTGGCCACTAGTCTCTTCTTCATCCTCCTGGTTTTCCTTCATAAAGCTGTTTAGGTTTAGATGAGTCATCATAGCGTAACTGGAAAATCTCTTTTGGAAGAAAATGAACAATATTTAGAAAAAAAATTCTGTAAAAGTTCTGAGCATCTGAAGACCCCAGTTAGTACATGGAGAGACTGTTCAGTTTTAATCAGCTTAGCCAAAAAGAATTTTACAGCATGTGCTGGGCTGAGGAGGAAGATTTTGGTAAAATGGAAAAAAACTCTAGAAGTTCCCAGCTAAGAGTGCAAACAAATAAGTGGGGGAGAACTGCCTAAAATAACTATCTTCCTTTTTGTCTATTCTAGAACATGGGGACAAGTAGCTTCTCAAAAAATACTAAAGCTGGTAGAAGGACATACAGTGAATAATAATGCCTAAATGAATGTCACTATTAAGGAGAAGATAGATGTATTCCTTTTACTAGTATTAATGGCTCATTGTCAAGACTTAAAAAGAATCTTAAAGTACCTGCATGTGTTGGAGAGCAACAACTCACTTTGGACAACAAAATCTGTTAGCATTTAATTTACTGTACATAGTATTACCTGTGTTTGAAATTTTCCTATAAATACAACAACCACAGGAATACTGTTAGTCTCCTACTTTAAAGAAAAGACAGCAATGGACACCCCTTGCTCTTTTCCTGTGGTGGCAGTTCAAACCAGAATGGGAACAATGGGGATTTTGGTGTTAATTTTTGGGCAGTGTTTCTTATAGCAGAGAAAAATATCCTTTTCAACA